CTCTAGTTCTAGGGGATCTGGAGCCCTCTTTTGGCCTCCACAGGTACCAGGAATGTACATGGAGCATATACATGCATGCAGGCAAAAGACTCATACACATACAAATAAAATTAAATACAATCTCTCTCTTATTATTAAGAGAGAGAACAGAGGAGCTGTTCACAAATCTCTAACTATCTCTTCTTTTGGCTTATATAGAAATGCAAAAACAAAAACTTCCTGCCCATCATTATGCTCCAGGTTTAGAGAGCTATACGCCATGGAAATTTAAGGGAAGTTTCCTGGGAATTTCTCAATAGCTAGAAATTCTATCCTAAGACGCCTAAGGGAAAAATACAAAGAATCTTCTAGAAGACGGAGCTCTGCCTCTGATGAACTGTCCGTCCTTTCTAATGAGAACTTTCTTCGGCATCCCTTGTAGATTAGTTTTGACTTAGCCAAGCAGGGAGCCTATTTTAAAGCTCGCAATTTGAAGATCATGGGTGCTCTCTAAAGCCTTCCGCCTGCGCCTCCTTTTAGGAACACGGCCCTTTATTCTCTAATGGATGAAAGCCCCCAAGCAAGCAAAAAACTTGGTTAAGCTGTCGCTCTCAATAGAGTAAGAAAAAAAAAATGATGGACAAAGAAGGAACAAATTGCATCTTCCAATAAGTTTTCTTGAAGCCCTTGTTAGACGCAGTAACCGCTGATGTTAACTAAATTTAACCCACTGCGACCCAGAAGGTGACCTTCACCTCTCCTTTCTTGTGCTTCCTGAGGCTGCTGGCGAAAACCGGCTCCTGCATTGGAAAAGGCTTCTCTGTCCCACACAAAGGCCCAGCCTTGCTGCCACCCTGCCTGGAGGCCCCTCGTCGCCCGAGGGGTCAGCACCTGGGCCGAGAAGCAGGTGACAGTGGCCTGCCTGCATCCTTCTAGAGCAAGCTGTAAGAGTGTCTACCCGTCAAGGATCACGTGGCAGACTCGGGCATTCAAGCGACTGAAGTCCAGGTTTCCTTTGTGAGCGCAGACTTTACAGAAATCAATCTATTGCTGTTCAGCTGACTGTAAAATTGGTAGATTTACTGTTGCAAAAAGGAGGAAGAAAGAAGGAAAAAAAACACAGTTTTCACTTCCACGTTGGCAGAGCCATGGATGCATAGGGCTGCCAACAAAGCAGCCTTTAAAATCTGTGCCGGGGGCGGTGGGGGGGGACTTAGCAATTTGTGGGGGGAGGGTGTTAAACAATGACTCCAACGGACAGGGACAGTCTTCTCTGTAAGTGCACATGTAAAACTCCACACCCCAGGAACTTGTGAAAGGAGAGTAATTGGCCTCTAATTCTATTTGCCTCAGGGAGAGTGACGTCCAACTATTCCATCATCAACGCACTTACTGGCCGACCCACCCTCCACCCTCCTTAAGCAGCGAGTAACCAGACAATGTCACGTGATATCGAAAAGTGGTGCTGTGCTATATGTGAAATGTAGATGCCAGGTGCGATCTTGGTCATGTTTTGCTGTGACCTCCACAGTAGAGAGCATGGAATGCCTTGTCAGTTTTCATCATCTTCATCCTTCTGTATGACATGATATGTGAGCAGTGGGCATTACTTGCTTTAACCGTTTCAAAACTGAAGGCAGTTGGGTCTGAGGACATAGCTCAGTTGATAAAATGCTTGCCAGGCAAGTGTGAGGACCTGAGTTCAGTTCCCAGCACTCATACAAAGAGTTGGGTGTGGTGGTGCACACTCGCAATCCTGGTGCTGAGGAGGCAGCGACAGGAAGATTCTTGGGCCTCCTGCCCAGCCAGCCTAGCCTAGTGGGAGAGGTCCAGGTCAATGAGAGAGGGTCAAAATTTGTCAAAAGGATGGTGCCTGAGGAACAACACCCAACATTGATTTCTGGTCCACTGGTCCTACACATTTGTGCATACACATACACACACACATCAATGATGAAGGTTAGCTAAATCACTCCAAAACCCACCATCTTGCTTTTCCAAAGGAGACATTTGAACCCATTTCTGCTTCATTCAGCTGTGCAAAAAGACTATACATGGAAGAGAAATGTGTCTCCTTTTGTAAACATCGCATTTAACACACATGAAAGCTTTTGAAAAATTCATCATGATGTGTAGACTCCGACATGCCTACTGTGCTCATTTACAGTTATGGGTGTGTTTTAATAATTGGTGTCATCAGTTTTTGACCAAAGAAATACTTGATCTGGAGTGTGAGGGACTTCCTACATGATGAAGAAATGTATTATGGAGCTAACTTCAGTCTTAGGGCATATGAAGGGCTGCAACACAGATGTGGCTACCAGATGCTCTCCAGGTCTACTGGGGGACCTGCCTAAGTAGCCACGTAATAAGTGTAAGTAATACAAAGGATGAATCTCAAGTCCGATACATGTTGAAAGCTCAGCTAAACTACTGATGTTTTCATTTTGTTTTGTTATTCAACATATGGGTGTTCACAGGTTTGGAGTGGGTGAGCCATGGTCCCACCTGAGAGTAAATGGTTGGCATGATGACCTATCATGATAGTTTATGATGCTAGACTGATGGGTTCATGATAGGGTCTCATTGTATGGGGCTGGCTGTCTTCAGGAAATCTTGAAGGCTTTTCCTAATACTCGGCCAAAGCCCACCCCCACCCCAGCACATCTTGTCTCCTACATCCCTATCGCCATATCGGTAGGCAGAAGGTGAAGGTGTGTCTTCTCAGCCATTAAACCTGCTCTGTATTGACAGAGGCACTGCCATGGACCCATGCAGGCTCAACAGCATCTATACAATTTCAAAATAAACCCAAGAATTTTACTATTATGTGGTTTTTTTGTTGTTGTTTTGTTTTTGTTTTTTGTTTTTTTGAGGCAGGGCTTCTCTGTGTAGCTTTGCGCCTTTCCTGGATCTCGCTCTGTAGACCAGGCTGGCCTCGAACTCACAGAGATCTGCCTGCCTCTGCCTCCTGAGTGCTGGGATTAAAGGCGTGTGCCACCACCGCCCGGCCTGTGGTTTGGTTTTAAAACTGTTACCGCCCCAGTCACCAAGTAAGAGGGATTATCTGGTGTGTGTGCACGCGTGCGCGGACCCTTTCTTCATCAGCTTCTCCCAGGGTGCCCTCACGGGTGTCCTGGCTGCCCTGGGTGGCCTGGCAGCTCCTCTGGGAGGCTGGACTCCTCGACTGGCTTGCCATGGACATCAGCGTCACTCTCTTTGGTGTGTAAGGACCACTGGTTCCGAAATTAATTTGAGACAGAGTTTTTGAAAGAGTTTCCATGGAAACCTTTTTGTTGTTGTTGTTGTTGTTTTTTCCCTCTGTGTAGCCCTGGCTGTCCTGGATCTCGCTCTGTAGACCAGGCTGGCCTCGAACTCACAAAAGATCCTCCTGCCTCTGCCTCCTGAATGCTGGGATTAAAGGCATGCGCCACCACTGCCCAGCGTGACCTTTTTAATAAAAGTGAAATTTGGAAAAAAATATTGAGGACTTACAGACCTGCTGACTCTTAGTTAAAATTACATCCTGACAGGACTTTTTGTGGAGCCACGAGACAGCATTATTATAGAGAGAAGCGAGAGACAGCATTATTATGACAGAGAGAGACCTGTCACTGAACTATTTCCCCAATCCCCTTCACTCTTTCTTTTTTGTTCTTTTAAAGCGTCCTAGGAACTGGAGTTACTGGAGTTGTGGGTGCTGGGGACAGAACCCAGTCCCTCTGCAAGAGGAATACCCTCTTAACCACTGAGCTTCCCAGCCTTCTTTTTACATGCTTGACTCTGCTGATTATGTGATGCTGGGACAAGTCATATAACATCTTCATGTTTCCGTCCGCGCATCTATGAAATGGGTAATGATAGAAGTAGCTTATGAGGGTGTCTTGAGGATTAAACTAACTTGATACACAGTATGTGTTTAGAAGTATGGTACTTATATAAATGTTACCACAAACGTGGGCACTTACAGCCGGTGTAAACCCGTCTACCCAGAGGGTGGGCTCCATACTTTATCCCCACAGCTATTCTCCCATCTTCCCGATGAGGGCTAATTCTGGCAGAATAAAAAGGGCCTCTAATTCTTCATTTCACTTGGAAACGGCTGACATGCAGGCCCCAGCCCTGGCCAGATACAAGGCTGTGATCTGACGAGAAAAGGAAGACTTAGATGTGGCTCTCAGGAAGCTATTTAAGGCTTCCCTAGTTTCCTGATGCAAGAATAATAGTTATAATCAGATATGACCCTGATTGAGTTATTTGGTGAGAATTAAATAAGACGACGTGGTCTTGCCTTGTTTAACACGCGGCCTATAAATACTATGGCTTCCCTTCATGAAAGGAATGGAAGTACCCCCACTAAGGAATCCCCTGTTGAAGAACTTGACGCCAAAGTAGGGGGCAGTTAGCGGCCTGGTTGCATGGGTGCCAGCCCCAAGAGCCAGCAGGTGTAACCCAGAGGGGCGTGAAGCTTCAGACTGCCCTCTTCGCTGACTCCTCTGCCTGTGGATGAGCGGTGATTTCTCCCAGTTCTGACAGCGCCTGAGCCGGAATCCATCACTTTTCGTCAGCAGACAGTGGTCTTGGGAGACAGGTTTATATTCACTAGCCTGATCTGCTCGTATGCAGATGGCAGTATTCCATACCGTACAGGGGTTGTCCAGATATTTATGAAACATTGTACGAGGCATTTCATACTTTATTAAATTGGTATTAATGTAACTGGCGAACGCGATGCAGTGACTGACTGCTCTGGGGACTCCACACTTTAATGTTCAATTCGCCTCAGGAGCAGCAGGTGAGTAAGCAGCAATTTCCTCAGTTTCTTCCTCAGAACTTCTATACTTTTTTTTTTTTTTTTTCTCTCCGGAGGACTTTATTCTATTAGCGGACCTTCCCTTTAAGGACTCGGGAAGTTCCGCCCGCTACGGAAGCCGACGCGGTCAATCCGCGGAGCCCGTGACCGATCTGCTTGTTCTTCCCGCTCGCCGTCCCCGGCCCAGGTAGGGCTAAGGTGAGGGCTCGGGGGTGCGGGGTTGAGGCGGGAGGACGTGTCCTGGGGACAGTCTATGCAGAGCGCCCCAGGCGGACGGGGTCCAGTGGCCCCAGGCTTCGGGGTCCGACCCAGCTGCCGCGCTCCCGAGCCACCGACCCACGATCCCAGCCATTTTCGCCGCGTACGTGCGCAGGCGCACGGCCTAGGGCTCGTGGGGGCGGGGCGGGGCGGGGCGAGTGTCTGGCTTCCGGGTGGGCGTGTCCCTCGCGTGGGCGTTCCCGCTGCCGACCCTTAGAGACACCTTGTGAGGCTTTTCTGTTTTGTTTTGTTTTGTTTTATTGAAACAGGGCCTTACTACGTAGCCCTGGCTGTCCTGGAATTCACTCTGTAACCAGGCTGACCTCGAATTTATAGAGATCCACCTGCCTCAGTTTCCAAAGTGCTGGGACTAAAGGCGTGCGTCACCGTCCCAGGACTTTTGAAACTCCTCCTGGAAGTGAGGGTGAGAAAATTCATAGAGCAGGACGCCAAAGTTGAGTTCACAGAAGACTGAATCTACTCGAACCCGTTCCCTCTGGAGTGAATAGGTGTCAGTAAGCTTGTGACTTTGGAGTGTGACGAACGATACAGAAAGCCAGTGAGTAAGTAAACGGCACAAATTCGTGTCAGGCCAGGTGTGGTGGCGCACGGCTTTAGTCCTAGCTCTCACTCGAGAGGCAGAGGCAGGCTGATCTCTTGTGAATTGGAGGCCAGCCTGGTCTACACAGTGAGATCCTGTCTCAAAAAATACGTAAATAGAAATCAGTACCATCAGGTTGAAGAGATGGCTCAGTAGCCAAAGAAGAGAAAAACAGAATTCAGTGCCTGGAACTGAAAGTGGAGGGAGAGAATTAATTCCGGAAGGTTGTCCTTTGACCTCTGCACCAGCACCGTGGCAAGGGTGCCCAGGCACATCGGACAGTTACATCATAACCAAAAAGCGAAGACTTGGAGAAGAAAGGGTTGGTTTGGTTTGCAGGTCCCAATCATAGGCCATCATTGAGGGAGGTTAGGGCAAGAACCTGGGGGCAGAAACCAAGTAACACCACAGAGGAACAGTGCCCAATGGCTGGTTCCCCATTTTGTTTTCAGCCTGCTTTTTTACACACCCAGGCCACCTGCCCAGGAGTGGTACTGCCCATAGTGGGCCAGACCCTCCTACATTAATCATTAATCAAGAAAAATGCCCCCACAGACTTGGCTCACAGGCCAGCCTGAAAGAGGAATTTACTCAACTGAGGTTCCCTCTTCCCAGATGACTCTGGGTTATGTCAGATGGACAAAGAACTAACCAGGACTTCTGGGCGGTGGTGGCTCATGCTTTTAATCCCAGCACGTGTGTGTGTGTGTGTGTGGGGGGGTGTCGTCTCTGTTAGTTTGAGGCCAGCCTAGTCTACAAACCTAGTTCCAGGACAGCCAGAGCAGTTACACAGAGAGACCCTGTCTCAAAAATAAGTAAATAAATAAATAAATAAAAAGGGCAGCCTGGTCTACAGAGCGAGATCCAGGAAAGGCACAAAGCTACACAGAGAAACCCTGTCTCGAAAAACCAAAAAATAAATAAATAGATAGATAGATAGATAGATAGATAGATAGATAGATAGATAGATAAAAATAAAAAAACCCAAAGAACTAACCAGGACAGCACACAAAGCCAGCCTGTCTGTTTCAGTAAGATGAACATGGATCTGCAGGCTGGATTGGTGTACTGACATGACCACTTCTTTTAGGCCATCAATTCTTGTTTGTTTTCTTTAAACTTTAATTACAAAAGTAATTTAAACCAAAGAATGGAGAGATGAACTAGCAGCCATGTAGCCAGAGGCAGTAAATGTTGCCATAATAGCATCGTCTAACTCCTGTTTCCTGCTGCGTCATTTCCAGTCGCGATCCTAAATACATCAGTGTTTGTTTCCTGGGAATTTTATTTTCACACTGAGAATATCAATGGTACTTTTTGATAGTTCCAAATACCTAATCTGCATTTCTATTTCCCCAGTTTGTCTTTTCAGAGGATTTTTCGCGAACACATTTCCTTTTGTGATTCCCTTGTCTTTTTATTCAAAACTAGCTTTCCATTCTCACCAAGCCTTGTCTCACGATCTGGATTTGTGATTTCACTTCCCTGTGGTATTTTCCAGTTTACTCCTCCCTGGACCTGGCCTTGTGCTTGAAGCTCTGTGGAGAGGTAGGCCAGCTTTGGATTACCTCGGGACAAGGCTGTGCTGTGGGAAGCACGGGGTATTTGCTGTAGCTCCTCATCAGGAGACGTGCCTGGGGTGTGCGGTTGTCCTCTGGTGGGGATGCCACTCTGACCCTTGGTCATGAAGGTGACAGTCAGCTTTTTCCTCAGCAGAGTGCTTTTACACATTTAATCCAGAGGCAGTACGTGGGTGACCGACCGCCTGGCATCGTCCTTGTACCTGAAGGTGTTTGACTGTTGCTTAAATGTGCCATTTTCATTGGTGGCAAAGTGGTGACGATGACGATGATGATTATTATTTTATTACTATATTATCTCCATACTTGGAAGAGAGCTTTTCCTCATCAACATGGACAGGCACGGTTTTTCCTAAAAAGACAATAAATGCTCCGCTCTTTCAGTTTCCTTACCAATCTACCAGTTTTCAGTGGAGCTGGGGTGTGACAGTGACACACAGTGGCGATTAGCAGCCTAATAGATGTTCGCACTTTCGGTGTGTTGAAGGGAATTACAGCCATTTTCCTTAATGTTGAAATTATATAACTGGCTAGAGGGAGCTCCTTCATGCTGCCAAACTGTAAATGAAATGTCACCACCAAACGAAATGATAATGTGTTCAGGGAAATCTGTCAGGACCCGACTATGATCATTAAAAAGACCCAAGAGCGTCATGGCAGTGTTTGCTGATGGCCCACTGGCCACTACTTGTAGCAGATCCTCACCGGTTGTGGGTGGAGGGTGAAACCGGAGGGTAAAACCGGTTTCAGCAGGTGCTGTTCCTTTACATTGTTTCTACACACACATTTCCCAAGATTGTTGCTCCTGTATTTCGGTGCTGAGGATTAAACCTAGGCCTTGCACATTTTAGGCAAATGCTCTACCACTGAGCCAGATTCCCAAGCACCTAATAGAGATTCTGAATAATAATAATTATGAATTTGTGATTTTTTTTTCCTGAGACAGGGTCCTACTGTGTAGACCAGGCTGGCCTGGAACTCAGAGATCTACTTGCCTCTGCCTCCCGAGTGCTGGGATTAAAGGCGTGTACAAGAAGCACCATGAGAAGTGAGAGCAGCACTTTTTATTGTTTGATTGTGGTAAAGAAGAATTTTTTTAAAAACCGAAGTGCCATTACTTTTTTTTTTTTGGATTTCTTCCATTTTACAAGTGCTTGCCTGCATGTACAGCTGTGCACTACATGTGTGCAGTCCCCTCAGAGGCCAGGAGAGGGTGTCAGATCCCCGGAACTAGAGTTACAGTTGAACATATGGACGCCATGTGGGTGCTGGGAATCTAACCCAGGTCCTCTGGGAGAGCAGAGGACTGTTACCATCAGAGCCAACTCTGCAGCCCCTGAAATGGCATTTCTACCTTGTCCTCATAAACAAGCCCTTAGATAACGTCACTTTTGAGCTGGCACTATAGGATCTAGGAAAAAGAGTTATGAATCTGGGAGAAGAGTAGAGATCAAAGGATCACGGTGTGCTGCTCAGTCTGTCACCGGCTGCACCAGGGACAGTGCCAGCCAACAGTCCATGTGTTGGTGTTGCCTTCCTACACATGGATCTGGTGGTCTATGTGCCATAAGGCTGCACAGCCTCACCTGCGCCACATTGTGCCATACTAGCAGACCATGGCATCCGTGATTGAGTCGTGATACACTTTCCCTGTTACTTTGTCAGGATGGCTGTTCTTCTGAACAGGTTGATGCTACAAACCTCAATTGGAAGATGTTTCAGAAAACACATTGCGCAGCCAGCCCCGGCACAGCTGCCCCTGACTGCCTCCACCCCGAAGCTCTCGTACCTGATTTTTACAAAAGGCTTTAGTACTGCCGAAGACAGCCAAGGGGAGAAGAAACAGAAACGGAAAGATGCTTTCACTAACACTGGAAGGAAAATTAGTGAGCGGATTATCCGCGTCCTGGATGAGAAAGGCAGTGACCTGGGGATGATGCACCGAGCGGATGTAATCAGACTCATGGACCAGCAGGACTTGAGGCTGGTGAAGAAGAACACGGGCTCAGAGCCACCGGAGTACCAGCTCATGACCGGAGCACAGATCCACCAGGAGCGGCTAAGGCTGCGGGAAGACGGAAAGGCCAACCCCAAAACTGGTAGGTGTTGATGTTTGTGCCTTGAATACATCAGAACAGTGGTTCTCAACCTGTAGGTCGAGACCCCCTTTCCACAGGGGTTCCATATCAGATATTTACATTGCAGTTCGAAACAGTAAGATCGCCAGGCAGTGGTGGCTCACGTCTTTAATCCCAGCACTCGGGAGGCAGAGGCAGGTGGATCTCTGTGAGTTCGAGGCCAGCCTGGTCTAAAGCGAGTTCCAGGAAAGGCGCAAAGCTACACAGAGAAACCCTGTCTTGAAAAACAAAACAAAACAAAAAAAACCCAATAAGATCATAGTTATGAAGTGGCAATGAGGTAATGTTACGGTTGGGGTCCCCACAACATGAGGAACTGTATTAAAGGGCACAGCATCAGGAGGAATGAGAACCACTGCTTCAGAACAACACAGCAGCACTCAACTCTTGTTGGCCAAGGTGTCAGTGGGACATGAGAAACTGGAAACTCATATGGCTGGTTTTGCCGTCATTGCAGGGAGGCTCCTCCTTCACCCCTCATTCCCATTCCTTCCCTCTCATTTTTGATGTCCCATGTCCATCACCTCTTCTTTTAAACCTGTCAATTGCGGGGAGAAACAAGGTACGCAGACCAAAGTGATGGAAGTCGCCTTCATCTTGTAGCCTGGGCTGCAGATGCACTGGCTGCTGGGGCAGTGAAGCCGCACTTGAAAGAGATGTTCTCCACGTCCAGCCTCCTTCCTGTCATTTTGCTTTTTAAGCACTTTGTAAATCCTGAAAGGGTTCATAGTAGCCCTGGCCTGTGCACATGGCCATCGCTTTCAGGCACCTGTCACGGAAGCCACTTGGAGGCCAGACACTGGGCACTAAGTGAGGAAGGGCTGGCTTTTCTGGCTCCCAGGTATGGAAGACTGGCTGGCTACTCCATGGGCTTCACACCATGACAAGGACTGGGGGCTGGCCCCACTGTAGGAGGCCGAGTGCCATGAGGAAAAAAAGCTGCTTTATAACACCCCAGGAATGCTATCATGAAAACAGACATTCATAGGAAGCCAACCAGGGGTCAGGAGTCAGCATGTCAGTCCATGTCCCAGTCAGAACATGGGGAGCAGACTGCAGAGCCTGGAGAGTCGGGCTTCACCTCATTCTGATGGAGACCCAGAGCCAACTGGTGGGAAACAAGGGGGTGCTAAAAACTTTAAAGGCCTATAAGAAAAGGTAATAAAGCCAAGTGTGGTGGTGCACGCCTTTAATCCCAGCACTCAGGAGGCAGAGGCAGGCGGGTCTCTGTGAGTTCGAGGCCAGTTTGGTCTACAGATCGAGGGCTAGGAGGGCTAGGGATGTTACACACAGAAATACTGTCTCAGAAAAAAAAAAAAAAAAAAAAAAAAAAAAAAGACAGAAAGAAAGAAAGAGAAAAGAAAAGAAAGAAAAAAAAGAAAAGGTATTGTCTGTCATCCAAAATCAGTGAATCTGGCTGTGATTCAGATTTTAAACATTACCGAAAAGTTGAAGCCTCTTCCACCCTCCCAAGAGATGTCCCTGTGTGCTCTCATGGACTTTAGCCAATGTTAATATGACAGATGTTCAGAAACAGTATGTAAATTATGTTTTTTAAAATGGCATATCCCAGGGGCTGGAAAGATGGCTCGGAGATTAGGAACACAGGCTGCTCTTCCAGAGGTCCTGAGTTCAATTCCCAGCAACCACATGATGGTTCACAACCATCTGTAATGAGATCTGGTGCCCTCTCCTGGCCTGCAGGCAGAACACTGTATGTAATAAATAAATCTTTTTTTTGTAATGCACATCCCATGTTCATAGGCTAGCCGTGGGTAAGCTATTAGGAACGTGTTAGTCCATCCCCATGGTATCTGGCCTCTTCCCAGTTCTTCAGTCTTAGGAATGCTCATGTGTACTCTGGGTTCTGTGAACCTGAATGGGCTCCTCTGTTCCCAGTACTGTCACCCTGATTGTCAGGGCAGTGATAGTGAGGAGCCACTGAACGTCCTAAGGTTGCCCTTCTGCCGTCTGAGCCGCATCTGAGTTACCTGCTGTGCCCCATGTTTCTCTCGGATGATCTTCCTCCAGATTCATAGCTCAGTTTAACACGGGGCATGGGGGAGGGGTCAGTGACTCAGAGTGCTTATGCACAGGTCTGAGTTCAAATTCCCAGAAGCAAGTAAATCCAGTCTCAGCAGCACCAGTGTGTGCACTCCAAGCCTGCCCCCTGGGGAGATGGGAGCAGGAGACAGGAGTCCTGGAAGCTCATAGGCCAGCGCCCCTGGTGTAGTGTGAAAATGAGACCTTTTCTCAGGGTGGTGAGGACCAACACTCGAGCTACACACACACACACACCCTCACAAGCACAAATACATACACACACCTTAGCAGACTTGAATTATTACTTAGCACATTAAAACCACACACCTTTATGCCTGTCTGCTCCACTAAAAAGCAGCTGATGGTCCACGAGGCTGGAGTGAGATGAAGGCTGTCAGTCACCCGTGGGCGGAAGCTGAGGTCAGAGAACAGTAAACAGACCCAGTAATAAACTTCACTGTTTCCACCAGGACCAGCTGTGATAAAGGAACTCGTTTTTTCTTCAAATATTGGACAGCATGATCTGGACACAAAGAGTAAACAGATTCAGCAGTGGATTGAGAAAAGATACCACGTTCAAGTCACAATAAAGAAGAAGAAAAGTGCTGACCAGCCGGAGAATGAGATGGTGAGGAGGTGTGAGCACCTGCTGCTGGGCCTTTCTTTTCTGATGCAGAAAGCTATAGAAACACTGGAGAGATGACAAGCAAAGAAATGACTAGTGATTCCACCGCCCTGTGAGGTACCAGCTTCCTGTGTCCAACTGTACACTTACTGTTTTCCATTATAACATACTCGTCCCATGGAAACCCTCTGGGGACGAGAGAAATGTCTCTGTAGTCAAGAGCACCCACTGCTCTTACCAAGGACCCACCTTCTGTCCCCAGCATCCACATGGCAGTTCACAAGTCTGTAACTCCCGTTCCAGGGAATCTGATGCCCTCTTCTGGCCTCTGTGGGCACCACACACACGTGGTGCACATACATACATACATACATACATACATACATTCAGGCAGAACACCCACACACATTTTTTAAAAATTGTAATATAAAAGCTATATTGTCTTTTAAAAACTGCCAGATAGCTAACATTTAAAATATAAAAAGTAGATAGTTCATAGGAGACTCTTCCATTCACCTGTTCTTTGGAGAACTTTATTCTTAGAATCCCTGGAGTATCTGTGCTGCGAGGCCTTTAAGCTGAGCTCACTTTCTCACCACAAAAGGCAGCACGGTACAGTGGGATTTCAACCCAGGCTGCCTGCATCATACTCGCAGGGCACAACTCAACTGCTTCAGAATTAGGAAGGCACTCTGCCAAGACCCAACCCCAGTGCTTGACTTTGGGAGAGCATAGGTGGGCTAGCTGTAGCCCCTGGTGCTGTGACAGACCGGAGTGGGGGCTGCAGTCTCCAGTGGGAGTTAGCACATGGAGTTCCTGTGCAGACAGGACAAGCAGATGGAGACACTGACCAGCCTGTCACAGCAGCTCCAGGGCGCATGCTCAATCTCACCACAGCATCAGAGACACTAAGTTTAAACTAATCTTGCACTGCTGTCCTTTGTAGGATGAGATATTGAACCAGATTCTCCAGACTATGCCTGGACTAGCAACCTTCTCAAGCAGACCGAAAGCTGTCAGGGGAGGAACCGCCTCCACATGTGTCTTCCGCCCCTTGAGCAAGAAAGAAGAGAAAGCATACAGAGACTCTCAAGAGGCCGAGAGAAGGGACGCTTCGAACAAAGACCACAGGACCAAGGAGTCAGACGTTCTGTGTCAGTGATTTTAATAAACAAAATCCAGGCTCTACAGAGGCCCTGCTGCCTGATCTGGAGTCGCTCACGCGGCCAGGGGCACCTAGTGGAGGGTAAGTGATGCAGCCGGTGGGAGCATCTTGCCTGGCGGGCTGCTGCTGGACTCTGCGCTTGTGGGCACGGAGGAGTCTGGCTCTTGTTTCCTTTTAGGAGGGAAGTACCCACTGAGGCGAGAGGCCAAGCTCCGTCTTGCCCGAGGCAGTTTTACCTTTGGAAGGAAGGAAAGAGACAACTGAATTTCCCCATCAGAATTACCTGCATCACAACGATACCCCCTTGACAGTGACAGTCCTTGATGGAGTCACACCTTCAACAGGTGGACATACCCAGGGCGGCGGGGTGGGGGCGAGGGGACGGAGGACCGGCGGTGGGGGCAGGGCAAGCAGCTCCACTTACTTTGGCCTTCATCCCCTTCTTGTGGGGGTCATGCACGACGCTGTGCCTCATGAGGCTCTGCTGCGGTGCAGGAAAAAGAAGCCCACTTCAGAAACCCTTGGTTCAGGGCTGGAGGTGGCCGGGTGGTTAGAGCATGTGCCACTCTCGCAGAGGACCCGGGGTCAGCGCCCACAAACTACGTGACAGCTCACAACCACCTCTATGCTGGTTCCACTAATTAATCTTTTAAAAAAGTCACAAGCTCTTGGTGTCTGCTAACATGAAAATGTCATGAGATGGTGCAATAAACTACCAGCTGCCTTTCTGTGGCGTGAACTTGACTTCCACCCAACTCCCTGACCAGAGTCTTTTCCAAGGACCATGCTGGGAACTGACTCCATCCCAATCTACTGACTTAGACCTTTCCTGAGACGGGAAACCTGGGGTTGAACTTCCCAGCTCATGCTTGCTTAGCTGACTCTCTCAGCTTCATCCCTAAACACCAGATGGAAATCTGGCCTCTGCCCTGCTGGCTGGCAGCAGTGGTCACCACAGGTACCTGTTGGGGGACTGATCGGAGCTATGCTTGGCGAGTTTATAATCCATAGTAAGAGCTCTGAAGACACCAGCTAGGCTGAAGCAAACTGCACAGGCCCACTGCTAGGTACCATGTTCCCACCTGACCCTTGAATCAGGCCAAAATCAAGCCAAGATCCCACAGCCCCCAGGTTGCCCATCTGTGTTACCCACCTCTTCTCAGGCCCTACATGATGGTCTACAAGCTCACATATTATCAGCTCTCTAAGATAAAGGACTCTGGCTCCCCGACTCAGCATAGCCATAATCCCCTAGAGCAGTGGTTCTCAACCTGTGGGTCAGGACCCATGAGGAACTGTATTAATGGGTTGCAGTGTTAGGAAGGTTGAGAACCACTAGTCTAGAGCACTTGTTAAAATAAGCCGTCAGCTTCCCAACCCCAGGGCTTCTGGCCCAGCTGGGTCAGAATGGGGACCCGGGACTCTGCACTTGTCAAGCGTTCTGCATTCTCACTGAGAACTGGCTCTCAAACCCGGGGCTCTGCAGGCTGCACGGGGAGACCCCAGCCAGGGGCAGGACACTCACTTTCATTGCGAACGTCCTGCCACAGCCCGTGTGCTCACACACGAAGGGACGCGCTTCCTCGTGGAAGGAGAGAATGTGGCTTTGCAGGTTGAACACGGTTGTATAGGTTCTCCCACAGCCTTCGCGCACACAGCGGTACACGTCCCTTTCTGGAGCGTGCGTCTTCATGTGCTGCTTAAGGTAGTCTTTGCGCTTGAAAGTCTTCTGGCATACTGTGCAGGTGGCTTCCTCTGGCGGGGAGACACTCATTAACCACCTTCCCTGTCTACACAACGGCTAGTCCTGTGACTACACACAAACTTCAACCCCTCATCTCACTGGCTCCGAATCCCAAGTTCTCTCCTGGCTCCCAGCTAGGTGACTAGGCAGGCGGAATTAATGTCATGGCGTCCGCGTTTGTCCTGACGCACAGCAGCGTTTCCCAAGAAGCCCTGCAGAGTTGCAGAGCCTCAGGAAAGCGGAGTGCATGGCCGCACCAGCTCAGAGACCCCCAGCAGCCCCTCACCGCCCAGGAAGCCAGCACTACAGGCATGATGCAGAACCCCTCCCTTTACAGCACACGTATACATTTCACTCTTCCCAAGCATGCTGTCAGCTCCCAGGGCCAGTGTTCTTCCTCAGCTCCATGTCCGCCTACCTTTATGGGCTTCTCTCATGTGCTTCAAAAGCTCTGTCCATGTTTTTGCCACAAAAGAACATCCCTTTTGACATAGATAGCCTGTTAAAAAAAAAAACACCAAAGAGTTATCCACTGCCTGCTCTGAACACCCAGCGCGAACCCTGACGACGGACCCTGACGACGGCCAGGAAGGAACCGCATGCCCCTGGAGTTCTCCTTCTCTCAAGAAAGGGCCGCTCTGCTGCATGCGACGAACTTCAACTAGCTAAACCTTTGCACACTTGAGAGTAGCCAGCTCACTAGAAAAGGAGACGCACAGCGGTATACAAATGAGTTACTAATAAACTCAGCATTGGGTTTAAATGGTCATGACAAGAGGCCAAGACCCAAACACCACAACAGTGTCCTTTGTTTGCCACACAGCTCTCGGTGCTCAGTGTGACCGTGCAGCAGACCAAGGACGCCAAGCAGCCCGAGTGGCAAGCACAGGCTGCTCGTGGTGTCCTCAGGGCCGGCACGGTGACCATCTGTACGTACCCTCGTGAACCTTCGCGTGCCGTTTCAGCCTGCTGGGTGAGGCGAAGTGCTTCCCACATCCCTCCTGGGTGCACCTGGGAAAGCAGCATGTGAAGCGTTAGCCAGTCCCTTCCCGTGGAGAACTTTGCTGAGATCCCCTCATCAGAGCCCATAGCTTCCCACACCAAACCTATCACCAAAATATTCAGTAGAGTCCTAAGTACAAACACCAGTGACTTGGCCAGCTTTGGAGCAAAACAAGCTTTTTGAGAAAAAGTCACACATCTTTTGTTTCTGTCATCAAATTGAAAGTTCTCATAGTTCTGAAAATAGTTTTGTGGCTACAGAAGCCACGTCAGGAGGCTGGCTGACTTGGTGACACTGGACCATCCTGAGCTGTTGGTCTGTGGTGTGACCAACTGCTACACACTGTCAGACAGGAACACAGCACGGGCTGGGTGCAGCTCAGGGGGCCCAGCACCAGAAAAACACCAACAACAAAGAGAAAGGGGTTTAGAGCCGGGCAATGGTGGCGCACACCTTTATCCCAGCACTCAAGAGGCAGAAGCAGGCAGATCTCTCTGAGTTCCAGGCCAGCCTGGTCTACAGAATGAGTTCTAGGACAGCCAGGGCTAAACAGAGAAACCCCGTCTTAAAAAAAAGACACAAACAAACAAAAAATAAAAACAAAGGGTGTCTGTTGCTGGGCATGGTGGCACATGCCTGTGACTGCAGCATTGAGGATCAGGGGCAGGACAACTAGAGTTTAGGACTAGCCTAAGCTATGCAGCAAGACCCTGTCTCAAGAAAACAGAAAATGGGGGCTGGAGAGATGGCTCAGCAGTTAAGAGCACTGACTGCTCTTCCAGAGGACCCAGGTTCAATTCCCAGCAACCATATAGCAGCTCATAACTGTTTGTAACTCCTGTTCCAGGGGACCTGACACCCTCACACAGACATAGATGCAGGCAAAACACCAATGCACATAAAATACAAATAAATAAATTATTAAAAAAGCAGATGGCCTGTCTAGGGTCTCACCTTATAAAAAAAGAAAAGAATGCCAGCACTCGGGAGGCAGAGGCAGGAGGCTTTCTGTGAGTTTGAGGCCAGCCTGGTCTACAGAGAGAGCTCCAGAAAAGGCGCAAAGCTACACAGAGAAACCCTGTCTTGAAAAACCAAAAAAAAAAAGAAAAGAAACGAGACAACAGGAGCCAAGGGGGGAGGGAAGAGCAGGCGAGGGCTTCAGGTGCCTGAGGAAAGGGCAGTGCGCTGCATCCTCAGCACCGGTATGAACCGCACTCCAGTGCAACCACAACAGCAGCGCCTGGGCAAAGGGCAGCCCAAGGTGCAGGGAGACACCACACCCGACCACCGCCCCCGCCCCCATGTGTCCTTCTGAGTACTCAGGAAAGCCCCAGTGCAGACGGAGCCCAGTTACTTCTGTTCTGTAGAAAAAGTCTTCATGAGGCAGTTCCTCACCTGCCCTTCAAGCTTAACCACAGCTGCCTGGCTCTCAAGAGCTGTTCCCCACATGTGAACATTGGTTTTTAGGGAAAGGGAAACAAATCTAACTGTTGAGTCCCCATGGGCACACAGGCCAGCCTGGCTCGGGACCCTTCAATCTGAACTCAGTGCCGGCAAAGCACCGACCTGAAGAGCAGCTCGCCGGTGTGCTGGCACTGATGCGTCTTCAGCTGCTGGTGCTTCCTAAAGGCCTTCGTGCAGCCTTCAAAACTGCACTGTGAAGAAAGAAATGCACCGTTTAGTAAAGGCAGAGACTCGACAGATGCTGGCGTCCTCTCGGGGCTGCAGACGGCTCAGATAAGAACACTTGCTTCTCTCTCAGAGGAGCCGGGTGCGGATTCCACATCCACCTGGTGCTTCTCAGCCATCTGACTGCAGTTCCAGAGGAACCGACACCCCCTCTGACCCTCACAGGCACCTACATGCATGTGGTGCGCAGGTACATATGCAGGCTAAACACCTGCACATAAAATAAATATGAAACTTTTTAACATTAAACAACGGTTTCTCAGGACCTAAGTGCCTCAGGGAACATAAACTTTCACCCTCTGAGTCCCTGTGAAACGCTTCATCTCAAAAACTAAAGAGCAATGGCAGTCAGAAAAGCAAGCATGCTTCTGCTGGGGTAGAAGCTAGGGTAGTCGGCACTAACCCAAATGCGCCCAAAGGGAGTCTTCAACATGAAAGCTTGCAGGCTGAGGACAGCCAATGCTGGACTTTACATCTCAGCAAGATAAAATCGGGTTTACGCAAACTCACTTTGGTACCAAATGTAAAAATAGCCGAAGTTGAAACCTATGAGGCCATACTCACTATATACTGTTTCTGTGGATTTTCATGT